ACAATAAAAAGTCAGCCACAAACCACCTTGTTTCATGGAAAGATAAAAAAACCCCTGGAGCCCCCCCCAGCCATAGTTCTGCAGCTCCCAAAAGCCTCCCCCGCCAGGTCCAGGTCACACTACTGAACTTGGGGGAAAAAATTCAGATTAAAAAAAAAAATGTCCTGAAAAGAATGGGTTAATCCAGGAAGTTCAGCAAAATGATTTGACTAAAGGACTCTCCCCACCCCACACAAAATGATTTTTCGAAGAGCCCATCATTTCAGCCCCTCACTTTCAGGATATCACCATCTTGCAAATTCTGTACCAAGAAAAACTGAATTCGGAAAGCTTAATCAATGCAGTTCAGTGAATTATGTCCTTTACATCCTCTTAACTCATTCACCATGTGATATGTTTTATATTGATTTTATCAATCATGAACAGAAGAAAAACAGAGAAGAGATGAAGGCCTGGGACCTCACCCACCCACCGGAAACATTTCTTGACTCAATTTTCAAACGTAATTCACAGACATTAGGAACTTCCTCTGTTTTTTTAAAGGCAGGAATTAAAAAATGAAAGCCTGGATCCCCACAAAAATGATTTCTGGGTCCAATCACACATTCGGTATTTTTCTGCCCTCCTAAGAATCAAAGCACATCTTCACATTCAAAGACCTTGTTATCTTAGCTGAAGAATTTAATATTACGGGTCCTGCAGCTACTGGAGCAAAGGCCCTGATCTGAATACTGATCCCTTACCATCTCTTGCTGCGTGACACAGGTGGCTTCCTGTCCCATTCACCACTTCCTCCCCTTCATCCTCCTTGTCAGAGTCCTGGACCAGAACTTGCCCAAAGCCCATTCTCCTCCCCGGCGCAGGTGTTTCTTCAATGGCCAACGCACTGGCCTCCACTCTTTCCTGGGTGGGTGGCACCACCATGGAGTCCTCGGGGGATTCACATCCAGCATCCGGGACCAGGATGAAGTACTGACATCCCACATCACCAAAGAGTACGGTGTCCCCATCCTGAAGGCTGTACCGGACCTGTGGGATCAAGGTGACACGCTGGCGCCGAGTCCGGTTCAAGCTGCCCTGATCGTACAAAAGGTGGGGACCGTGGGAGGAGGGGACCTCGATCACCGCATGCGTTTTGGAAACAGAAGAAGCAGGCAAGCAGATGTGACAGCTTTCCAAACGACCAATGACGTTCTGGCCAGGGTAGATCCAGAAATCTAGAAAGAGAGAGCGTATGTGAATGGAGCCTGCATTCTACCTTCCTGCAGGAGATTTACTTTGCTTTCATGCAGGGGTGTCAAAAAAATTAAAGATGACAGCCACAACCACGTGATCAAGGCCTGCCCCTTTTAAAATTGCATCACATCACAATGTACGTTGACGGGGCAGGGCTTTGATCACATGGTTGTGGCTGCCATCTTGACTTTTTTTGACCCCCTCCACGCAGAGCCCCCTACTTTCATGGTTGCCACTGAAACATATTTTTACATAAGCAAGGTTAAATCAAGTGAATAACCCTGGCAAAATCCATGACACCCAAAAGGAGTGGTTATAAAAATCATACATAGGTTATATTCAAGCTTTCTCCATCACCAGTTTGGATCCTGGAAACCTTACCATGCTTTCATCAAAGTAGATCAAAAGGTTTGCTCAATGGATTAGTTACGAAGTGAAAAAAATGATTATTTTAAAGGTATAAGGCATTCCATCCACTGAATTTTTAGACTAACTCCCATTTCTGGCATTCAGTACAGAAAACTCATGAAGGGACAGCCATGCATAAGGGAGAGCCGGCTTGATCTAAGTCAAGATGCTGAATTAGACTCTAGGGAACCATGAGTTCTAATCCTGATTTGGGCACAGAAGCCAGCTGGGTGACTTTGGACCAGCCACTCTCTCTCAGTCCTAGGAAGCAGGCAATGGCAAACCACTTCTGACATCTTGCCAGGAAAATTGCAGGGACCTGTCCCTGGAGTCACCAGGAGTTAGGCATGACTTGAGGAACCGTAACATGCATGTATAAGCTAACCACTCTGTCCCTCCCTCCCTCTGCATGCCATGCATCGTAGATACCTAATCAATGTCAGTCTAAAGAGGCCCTATGTGCATAAGGATGCTAGCCCTAACTGACCAGGTTCATACACATATGAAAAGAGCTATATGCATATTCTCCCAAGCAGCCCATTCAGATTGACCACGATTATCTGACACTTCCATGACATGACTGATTGGGAACACATGTAAAGAGTTACACATACATTTAATACTAGTGAATATCAAAATACTTAAACAATTCACTCATTTCTACAATCACTGCACTCAAAATATAAATACCATGATTTCTCAATTCTTAGCCAGCACGGTCATGTACATTCAGCTGAAGAAACGGCAGTTGTTCAATTCTTCACCACAAAAGCAAGTCATTAAGTCATTCCTTAACCGATCAAGTACTCAACTATCACTGCAACAACTCAACAAAAGAAGCTGTGTAAGAACTGTTCTCAGGTAAGCAAAAACACACTGCAATAACCCAGAACTCCAAAAAGCAGAAAGTAACTGTATAGCATGCTCTAACATGGTGGATACCCATGCAACGTCTTCAAAAGATGACTATCCATGAAGCCAACGACTACATAATCTATGAAAAGGGTCTCTACCACATATGAAAAAATCTCTGAAACCACCAACTACTACTACAACTACTACTACAACCCCAAGCATCATGTTAGCCCACAAACCAGTGTTTCTCAACCTTGCAACTTTAAGACGTGTGGACTTCAACTCCCAGAATTCCCCAACCAGGCCATCCTGCTTTGGGTTTTTTGTGGGGGGAAGTGTTCCTATTTTAAGATTGTCAAGTTTTAAA